CAGATTTCGAAGCGGAAAGCACTTATATTTTGACATATTTGACACTGGCCTCACATCATGTACAAGGGTTACATTCTGTGTTACAAACGGTTTCGGACATACAATATATAAGGCTATAAATGTTTTCGTGTTCCGAATGTTTCATTTTATAAAGGTTACTTCAAGAAACACACAGGGAATGAATGAAATACTGTTTTTCCCTCAAAATTATTAATAGTTTTCTAAATTTCTTTTAAAAATACACNATGGCTTATGGTTAGATGTTTCCAATGTGCTGTGTGTTGTGTACTGCACACATACATCACATCACATCATAAATACAATTTATTTTCAATTCGTGCATTGGTTCAGCCGCGAAATTAATAAATGACAAGTTATAAATGTTTTCCGAAATATGTAAATCAATATGCGAAATCTGAAATATCAATCAAACGTGAAGAAGACACCATAACAATCACGGCCTGCCAAATCCGTGTCTATAACACCATTGTCCGGATGCTGTTTACTGAAGGAAACAATTTCACTTCAATCCGAAAACCTTCCTGGAAGTGTCTGAAATCTTGCTATCCAAATATCCATTCATACATAGTGTGTCCAGGTTCTGTTAGGACTGTGTTCATTAAAAATACAAGACATGAATTATTTTAAAAATTTCACACTTGTTATTCAAAATAGTCTCCTTCTGAATCAATACATAGCTTGAATCGATAGAAAAGTTCTCGAAAACAGTCATTGTACTTCTTCTGTGGAATCGCATTTAAAACTGTGGTTGATTCCCTTTGGATGTCCTGTATGGTGTCGTGACGGTATCCTTTCTTCGCCAACTTAACTTTTGGGAACAACCAGAAATCTGCTGGAGCCAAATCTAGCGAATGCGGAGGATGATCGAGGACTGTGATCCCTTTTCTGGCCAAAAAATCGCGCTCGATCTTCGATTTGTGGAGTGGGGCATTATCGTGGAGGAGCGCGACCTCTCGATATTCAGGTCGAATTCGAAGAATTCTGGCACACGAACGATTGAGGGCTCCGAGATAATAATCAGAATTCACCGTTTGACCTTCTGGCAGAAATTCTTTGTCAATGATACCTTTGGAATCGAAGAAAATGGTTAGTAGTGTCTTTACTCGACTCTTTTGCATGTGATCTTTCTCTGGTTTCGGCTTCTTTGTGCTCAACCACGCTGCACTCTGCCGCTTTGTGAGAAGCTCATATTGAAAACACCATGTCTCGTCACCAGTAACAATCGAATTTGTAAATTCTGTATCACTTTGGGCCGACCGTAACCTGTCTTTGCAGTGTTCCACTCTGGCATGTTTTTCATCGCTTTGCAGCGGCGCGTGTGGTACAGACCGCGCATAGACCTTCCGTTTGCCCAAATCCTCGGTCAAAATTTGATGCAAAGTACTTTTTGGTATTCGCAAAAGCTCCTTGATGAGTCTTGCAGAAACACATCTGTCTGGTGCACGGATTTCGGTCACATTTTCTTCAGTGCGACTTGTTCTCGTCTTTGATGCACGTGGAGCGTCTTCAATGTCCTCCCTGCCGTCACGAAATATAGCATACCATCGAAAAATGTTCGAGCGATTCAAACAATGACTACCGTATACACTTTCCATCATTTCGTACGCTGCTCCGGCTGTTTTGCCTAACTTTAAACAAAATTTTTTGGCTCTCGTTCAACCGCCATTTTCCGACGAGTTTCAGTACCGTCAGAACAGTACTGTTACATTCAAGGTCAGAACACATGATGCAGCGATGCTTGCGCTTTGAAATTATAGTCAGCCAGAGCTGAAACTACAAGAATCTTAACGCCACAACTCGCCAACAGATGGCATTGCAGGGTTTAAAAAAAAAAGAGAGAGTCCAAACCGTCCAAACGGTCCAAACGGATCCTGGACACACCGGGTGTATATGAGATGATGTTATGTCTTATAAGATATATGATATTATTTGATAATATCTTGCAATGTAATCTAGAAAATATCATAGTATATCTTCTGTTTATTTTTTAGACAATATCGTAGGGGGATCTATTCTCATTATCAGACCATTTCTCTACATGTTTTTGACATCAAGCAAGGCTATAATTACAAAGCTATAACTAAAAAATAATTTCAATAAACTGTGAATCCCTTTTTGTGCTGTTATGTTTTCCTCCTGTGTACAGCCTGATATTAAAATTGTTCTTTAATGAACGCGGTTTGGTGGATGTATTTTACTTTTGCTTAAAGAAGCCGTGTTTATGTTCAAGTGTGTGGTAATTCTCGCTGTAGTGCTAAATGCAGTTGCGTAATTACAGAATTAAATAATTGTTATGTCTAAACGTTATCTGCGAGAAAATATATGTACAAAAATTCCAATAACACTGTTATGTTTTAGTATTCAGTGGTATTTAACACATAGTCGTGTGACGTCATAGGATATTGCTTTGAGTGCGACACCGGCATTTTGAACGGAACGAGGTTGGCCCTCGAATTTAGTTAAAAATGGCGTCCGATCAACAGAGTAAGAACAGAATGCAGGTTTTCAAGAATAAAGGAAAGGATCAGGATGTAAGTAAGACTGAACTACAACTGAATGATTTGTAGGCTAGTACATTCTTTGTTGCTGCTTCACCAGCATCATGTCGTAGTAGAAATATTGCATTGGGAACAACCCAATTTGGAGGGTGCAGTATGGAGTGGCCAGAAGGCCCCTATGCATGAACTGTGTATTCTGTTAATTATTTGTTTAATGAATTTATTTGACTTATGAGATAAGTGAAATAGAAGCCCTCCAAACAGAAGTATTCATGGCTTTTCAACAACAAAAAAGATTCCATGGAAATGTGCGGAATTTCTCAACTCCGCCCAGCAACAGTTGAAGACTTACAAACAACTATCAGAGATTGCTTTGATCACATCAGACCGTGAGCATGGAAGATGCCCAGAAGAACATGGGGGAAAAATGAAAATGTATTTGGAGAATGGAGTGGAGCATACAGATAACTTCTAAGTAGGAAGCATAGGGACTTTGTGACCACTCCATGGCTAGATTTTAATTGTTCCAGTTCAGTTTTAGTTTGAAATTATGGCACAATTTTTTAAAGAAATGGTGCATATATTAAGTTGATAATTGCATCGACTAAGTGTTGTTTAATTCGATCATGTTAGGATGCTTTGCTATTTTAATTTGAGAGAAGATACATTTCCATGTTCAAAGTACATTTTTCGTGTAAAATAGAATATGAGAGGGATTCAGCAACTTAAACGATGAAGAATTATGAGTTATATTCCCGTATATATGTTGTTATAATATAGTTGTACTTTTATAGCTAGTAGAAAGAAGTGTTGTAAGAGTGATGTTTCATGAAACTACTTGGATAAAAGAACAGGTGTAATGTGTTTGTTATCCATCGGCAACGTAGGGTAGATCTTTTCTCAAGTACTTTTCATTACTGGATACCTTTCTTGTAAAGTTTTCTTATATATTATCATAATCATAACAAAATCACATGGGTGGTTACATTGATTTTAAGGTTTTTATAATTTGGATTAATATTACAATATGTTGATCATATATACATGTTAGTGAATTAGAGGTTTATGTATAGAATATAAACTTTTATAATGTAGCCATGCTGTGTGACATGTTACTGAATTTGTGTTTTAGTTAAGGTTGCTAGTTCTAACACGGTCCATAAAAACTTTATTAATACAGCTGATTATTCTGTTATAGAGATGTACTAAATGCATGTGTGTTCAATGTACAAAATTTACAGGTTTTTCAGTCATGTATTTTGTAAAAGCCATACCTCATGAAATTTGATTTGTTTATATACCTAGTCCATATCAGAAAACTTTTAATGTCATATCCAGAAAGTGAGGCATTTGTATGTCCTAGACATGTCAGAAGGTGAAGAGTTTCTGTACAGTGGTCAAATATGTTAATGACTGTTCATGGAGACTGTGTCAAGTAAATTACTAGAAACAATGGAAGTCTGAACAAGCTGTCGTTACATGGGGACAACAGCCAGTGAGGAGTGGAAACTACCCTCATTACATGACATTGTAGACAACAGAAATATTATTTTTGACATTTGTTAGTTCTGTTTTTATATATCATCTGTAGAATTTGTTTAGGAAACTTCCTTGATGTTGATATGGGTGACAAATGTTAACAGTTCGAAGTGATAATAAGAATTGGGTATGGTTGGATACTAATGTTATCTTTATTGTTTGCAGTAATATTGGTTTCTTTATTACAAATTTCTTGTGTTGACTGTTGTATGATAATACTACACCGTGTTCAGAGCGCAGGCTCATTGGGCATTGATTTTACTGTTGGCAACTTCCTGCGAAAGTGATGGGCCACTTGCTGAGAAAAATGCTGCCGCATGGTTGGTACAGGCTGGTTTATGTCTTTCATTAATTATTAATCAAATATAGTAATTAATATTGTACTCACTATCATAGAAGATGTTCAGAATGTGTGCCCTCTGCTGTGAGACATGTCTGAATTCTTTTAAACAGATTTTGGGAAACTTGTTGCAATTCATTGCTGAATGTTGTAAATTTCTTCACGAATATTCTGCTTTTGACCCTCCAGGTCATGTAGATTGTTGGCATACACATCAATTTTGAGTTTTCCCCACAAATAAAAATCACAGGGGTTTATAGCTGGGGATCTAGGGGGCCAACAAACTCTTGCTAATAATTCCTTTCCATTTACTCCCCAAACACACTGTCTAATGGCCAGATAGTTTCCTTAGCTGTGTGTGGAGTTGTGCTGTCTTGCATAAAATAACTGAATCTGCCGGTGCCAAATTAACGAAAAATGGGTTGGTTAAAGTATTGTTGAGCATCAAGAGTTCCTTCATAAAATCGCACACTATACACCGATCTTTTGGTCATGAAGCGGAAGTTGAATTAGGGCATGGGGATTTTCACTGCCCCAATACCTGTTGTTTTGCAAGTTAACATATCCCGAAAGATTAAAATTAGCTTCATCTGTGAAAAATGTCAGCTTAGGATCTATAAGTCCTTCATGCACATGACTGATAAACCAATTACAGAATGTTATTCTTTTTCATAATTCACAGGTTTAATTTCAGGAACAACAGTAATTTTGTAAGATTTGAGGTTTTCTCGGCGGTGACTATGAAGAAAGCAGTCTTCTGGGATGTGGCACTGTGTAGATGTGGTGTTAACTGACGTTTTGGAGGAACGTATCACCTCCATCTTCAGGGTGGAAGGAAAAATAAAAAATCTTCAACCGAAGAGACCGTGAGAACCGGTACAAGCAGACTGGTGTTGGAAATAAACACACTTATGTGAGAGCAGTGAAGGGAAGGGGGGGGCAAGTCTACATGGAAAATCAGTGGAGTGGGAGGGGGGAAGGGCTGTGACAGAAGCAGGGTTTTGTATAAGATGTGTCGGGTGATAGAAAGGCAAGGTTAAAGGGAGGGCACTAACCCTTAGGCTGGGGGCTCTCAGCAAGTCATGGAAGCCTCTCATCTGTTCCCCAAAAAGCCCCCCGGGACCTGATGCCAGATCCACAAGGCTACACAGGCCAAGACACACTAACATAGCAACCTCCCCAGCTTAAGGGTTAGTGCCCCGCCTTTAACCTTGCCTTTCTCTCCCCCAACACAAAAACCCTGCTTGTCCCAGCTCCTTCCCCCCTCCCACACTACTGATTTCACTTGTATACTTTCCCTTCCTCCCTTCCTTCTCTGCTCTCACATAGCTGTGTATATTTCCAACACCAGTCTGCTTTTACCCGTTCTCACGGTCTCTTCGCTTGTGAATTTCTTATATTTTTCCTTCTACGCTGAAGATGGAGGCGATACGTTCCTCCGAAACGTCGGTTAACACCACATATACGCGGTGCCAAATCCCAGAAGACTGCTTTCTTCAAATCAAATTTAGTATTGTTAAGTCATGTAACCTGAATCTAAAGTAGTAAATGTTGCTGTGCTATCACATGAAATTAAATATTCTTCCTTTTTATTCACAGTATCGGTCTTCATAGTTAAAAACATGGACAAGCATGTAGCAAATTCAGATATTCATAACATTTATACGAGACAAAGATACAAACATTATCCAACTTTTAAATCAACCAGGGCTCAAAAGGGAATATCTTACACTAGAATTAGAATATTTAACAAATTACCACATAGTATAAAAATATTTTTTGCAAGATTTAAATAAATTCAAATATTCCCTTAAAAATTTTTTTGCAGGTGGGCTCTTTTTATTCTATAGATGAGTATTATGAATGGGAAACGAGAGATGATTGTGTTAATTACAGATAAGTGAAACAACATTAGTCATTTTTAAAACTTCTATTGTAGGATACCTATACTTCTTTAGTTATGATTTTACTCTGTTATAGACAATGTTAATATGTATTTTATTATGATAATAAGTTGCAGTGCAAGTGTTACATGCATGTTGTATTTAATTATTTAATTGCAGGTGGGCTCTTTTTATTCTTTAGGTGAGTATTATGAATGGAAAACAAGGGATGATTGTGCTAATTACAGATAAATAAAACTACACTAGTCATTTTTAAACTTTTATTGTAAGATGCCCATAACTCTTTGGATATGATTTTGCTCTGTTATTGACAATGTTGATATGTATTTTGTTATG